TGGATGAGAAGCAACCAGTCCTGTAAGTCCACCGGAGCATTCTCAGCTGTCCACTCCGGCAGTTTGTGCAGCTCTACACTGCTCCTCACATGCTCCTCTTCATCGTCCTCTGTTAGCCGTCGGCCCCTGATCGTCTCTCGATCCAAGAGCTGTTGTTGCAGCGATTGCATCCCTTGCATCAACTTGAGCATCACGTCCACTGTGGTGTCCTCCTTTTTTGATCTTCCTTTGTGATCTTTCACATTCACTGAATCTTCCGACTCCTCTTCTTGAATCGATTGACTCTCCTCACTGGACTCTTGCTGTCCAGCTGGACCATCCTCCTTAGAAACTTCTTCAAGCTTCCTTCCAATCACTTCCTCCTCTGCTTTGGGGGTCTCAGCCTCCTGTTCTCCTCGACCTGCAGCCTCCTTTGGCTTCGAAGCTTCAAAGTCTTCCTGCTTGGCTTCTACACCTTTGGACTTGGGCTTCTTTCCTGAAACCTTCTGACGGCGGGCGCTGTCACGGAGACCTTCAGCAGGAGTGACATCGGGAGGTGTTGTGTATCTAGTCTCTCGTTCTTCCATAAGCTGAATCCTCAACCTCAAATTTTCTTCTTGAAGCTGGGTGAGAGACTTTGACATTTGTCCCATTTCTTGTCGAAACTGCCACATCATCTCATCAAACATTCCTTGTTGTGTGTGGTGTGGCACGTATCCATAACCATGTTGAGGTGCTAAGGGATATCCCATTGGTGACATCATCAAGACTTCCGGACCCTTCCTTGATGGTCCCTCTGACATGTCAGCTTCCTTCCCCATTCCCACCTTCCCTGCCGCCAAACCCCCATCCCATCCGCCGGTGGACTGGCTTACTGCGGTGGGGCTTGGGCCCTGCAAAAGTGGTGCACTCAACCTGAGCTCCTCAGCCTTCTTTAGCTGAGCTTCATTGAACAGTGGCTGGAGGTTCCTAGGTCCTAGGGCCTTAGGGGATCCTACAGGTTCTGCTGGAAAGTCTTCTATTGGCAAGGGGGTTTTCATATCTTCCCCAACAGGACCATTTGGTGAAGGCTTTCCAACCCTTTCCCTATCCACTGCCACTAGAGCCATCTCTGCCCCTTGGTTCCTCGCGCTTGCCCGGGTGCTTGACGCTGTTTGGTCTTTCTTTGACTCTTCATCATCAGGCTCAGACCTTCTTCTTCTGAGCATCATTTCAGCAGAGTCCCCATGCGTTGGGCTCATAACCTGTTCGCGACAGGTTCACCCGGGTAATATTATCGGGGGTACTAGCACTGACAGTCCTGACACGTCTGCGGCCAGAAAAGCCAGGTACTAGTCCACACCTCAAACTCCTTGCGTTAGACACACAAAGTCCTCCACGGTCAGACAAGTGGTCCTGCGCTTTTAACTCTCTTTCCAAAGTCCTTCACGTTGGATTCACCGGTCTTCCGACCGATCTTTGAGCTTGGAAAAAGGGCTATGGTGAAATGCCCATTGATCGAAATGACAATTGCAAAGTCATGACATGAATGCTAAATAGGGAATATGCAATTCGCAGAAACCACCAACCAGAAATTGTTTTGACATCAACTGTTTCTGAGAAGTATTTTATGATGTTTTCGACGTGCCAGATACTTCAACAAGTATGAACAAATCTACATCTCATATGGTCGGAAGCTTAGAGAAAGGTTTGTTACTCAGGAGCGAAATTGACTTCTATGTCTGTCTCAAATTCTGAGGTCGCAAGTCGAATGCGCAGCTGCTGATGCTTTATGGCTTCAGTATGGAAAGGAACACACAGGACTTCTCATGTAATGACTTGCTTGCACAATGACGATACTGTATATGATATAGTTATTATGTTTGTGTTTTGCAACTGCAAGACTACACGACTGCCAAATTGCTACGCAAGGACTTTGTCACATTCTCCACCGGCCAGTTGCTTGAGAACTCTCCATTTTCAGAGGTGCAACATTCATTTTAGCTCCTGGAAACATCCGTGTCAATTACTAGTTTGTGAAACTATGTGGATTATTTGAAATCAAATCAGCTCGTGTCAGGTGAAAAAGAGAATTTTGGATGAGCTTGAAGTTCCCAGAGAGGCTCTATACACGTCTACAAATATCTATCCAAATTTGTCCAGATTGTCAATTCGGATTTTAACTCCGTCCACTCGAGGGTGTGTTCCCTCTCTACCGCGATCGCTTTACCGGCGAAATGATGATGTTTCTGAGGCAGGGCCTTTCAAGGGTCGGCAGGGGTAACATTCAGCAGATCCAGGCTGTGAGATGGCGTGCTTCCAGCGGATTGAGGTTGGCTGTTGTACAGCCTGAAGACATTGACATGGACGAGGATGCTGATGAGAAAGAGGTGGAGAATTAGAGTAGACAAACGAAGAAAGGACAGGAAGATCCAGCCAACCTGCAAACACATGGTTGCAGAATGTCATATGCTTAGGTCTACAAGGCTTTGAAGCAGCTCGATATCAAGAGGGCAACTGGAGAGTTCTTGCCTCACGTTTTTATGCACCGTTTTTCCAGTGTCAGTGTCACTCTTACCGACATGAAAATGGAAAATAGGAACAACAACAGGTGCAAAACTGTCACATGTTCTGTTCTGAGGGTCAGCGAGAGGCGTGCTCTCATCTGCCTTCGTGGCGTTGTGCAGGACACTTCTGGCTGCCGTTTGGGTACCGTTGAGTCGCTACGTTGTGCAACGTTTTTTCTGCACGCTTTGAAGGACCTGCAGGATGCTTATCCAACCACCTTGCAGGAAGATGAGGCAAGCATCTTTTAGACGTATTTAATTAATTTAAGTTAGGAATTGTGGTACCGCAAACATGGTGTTCGTTCTGAAATATTGGAGTTTCATATGATTTCCTCACAATTGTTTGCAATTCATCTGACAGCCAACAAATTGACGCTTCACAAGCTGCTCTACTGTGACTTATTAGGTTGAAGGTCAGGTCAGACTACAAGTCCTGAAGTGATTGAGGGCCCCAAGAATCGCTTTAGGGTTGAGATCAGACGAAGATTCTGCAAAGTGACGAAGCCACGATGCAAAAGATATATATATATATACAGAGATATACAGATATTACAGATATACGGTGATATACAGACGTTTCACCGTTTCACACTTGACTCCAGGCCTTAATCCGTGATAGGCAGATGTCATTGCCTCAGATTTGAAATGTGGTTCTGAGTATCCAGGATCACGAGGAAATTCCCTCCTGTTCAAATGCTATCAACCAAGCCATACGCTTCACCCATGTGGCTTTTATTTTAAGAACGTTGGCGTTTTCTGAGGTTTGAGCTGCTGCCCCGCAATCAGAGAAATGCCCTGCGAGTGAGGCGACTTGTCCAACGCCACCATGAAGAGTGTGGACATAAGATGCACAATGCACAAGATAAGATTGCAACAAATGCTATTGCATCACTCTGGTCACATGGTCAAGAGTTGCAAACTCCAGTAGGAATCTACACGTGCATCAGTACTATACCCTAGACGAGACCATATTACCACTACAGAGCTGGCAAGGTATGGTGAAAAACTGATCATCCGTGCCTCGCTGGCCACCATTGATCGAGTCCTCAACAACCTGAGTAGGCAACGAGCGCAAATTGACTTGTTCTGACGTATGTCATAGTTGACTTGCCAATGCCTCTTGGATTTTGCTACATGTTTTGTATCCTTCTTGTGCTGGAGTTTTTGGGCGGGCTATGCTTTGCAGACGTTGCTTTGAAATGATCCTGTACATTATGTGACTAGTTGCTTCTCAATCATGAAGCGCAGGTTGAAGCAGATGGAGGTGCAAGAAGAAAAGCAACGCAGAGAGGCTTTAACCAGCAATGATCAGCAATGATAGGGTGTTGGGAGTGAACCTGCCCATCGGCATTCAACTTGGCCACCATATTTCCATGCCATTTCCATGCAACTTGACCACCTGTTTTGTTGTTTTGCAGATGGAGAATTCTGCTCTTGGAAGACTCAGCGTTGCCTTCGACTCCCCATTCAAAGCGCGGAACCTTGAGGACCTCAGCGTTTCCCAGTTTTTCCATGCGCTCCATGGAGAGTTTTCTCGTGCCGCAGGAGCTCATGAAGGAACTGGACATTTGATGTCGTTCATGCCCCTACAATCTCCTACACTTGTCCAAGAGCAAAACGCTTTGTACACAGAATCTCGCTGAAGCAAGCACGACGCTGCTTCCCTTGTCAATGAATCCCTTGGAAGCGTTGTTTTCCTTGTTCGCTGACATGCTCAAGTTTTTGTTTGCCCTTGAAGGCAAGGGCACCTTTTCCAGTCAACGTGGCCTCTCACCAGGATTCGTTACCCGTTAAAGTCTTATGGCTCAGTTCCTGACAACAGAATTATGAACCACGCCAAGTCAGAGCGAAGCCAAGTGGGACTAGCCATTGCATGACTGCAGTTTTCCAATTCGTATGTCCTGGGGTGCCCCCATGCAAGACCGTGTCAAACAGCACAAGCTGCAACAGTTGCTGCGGAATTGAGGGCATCTATGTTGCTGGCACATGTCAATACATCGACATGTAAATACAATACAATGTATGATATGTTTATTATATCATAATTTGCACATAGAAATAACAAGGGCATGTTAGCTGCATTTTGATCAAAAGAACAAATAGAAGAATGTGGAGATGTTGTCCTGGAAGACCTCTCTTGAGGGGATTTGTTGTGTGGAATGTTAGCACATATGCTGTGACTACAGTAATTGGGGCCAGTCATTCCTGCCATTTATTTTCAAGCCAACGTGGTTCATTCGCTGCCTATTTACCTTTCAAGATGGAGTTGGGTGTTCATGGGCCAACCACGTTCATTGGCCAAATATGGAGCCACATGATGCAAAATGAGGGCTACTACTTAACACAGAAGACAAACATTCTCACATGTCAAAGTGTCTTCGCTATCTTCACTCATTGTTCAAGAAAAAGGTATGCAAAAGCTGCCATACGACTATCATAGCAGTAGCAAACCAACTTCTCGAGAGAACTGTCAGAGCAGAAAGAGTCCCAGATTGTCTTTCAGCATGCCTTCTCCTACCCTATCGTGCAGCTGGCAGAGATTGCTGAAACACAGGAAGACAGATGTTTGGGGAATTTGATGGAATTTGCTGGCTGCCTCAGGATTATCTACCATAAAACCATATAAAACTGCTGAGTTTACCACTCAAAAGGTTCATTTCTTTAATGGCTTGGTCCCCCATGTGGTCGCCATGTGGTCGCCAGGCGAGGTCAGCTGGTGGAGATCACCGGAGTGACCGTGGCACCTGACAGATGGCGCAAAGATGGAGCCGTGACTGACGGGCCTCAGGATGTCAATGGACTGCAGGCGGCCATGATGCCATGGCCACAAAAAATAGCCACAAAAAACTGACTAGATTTGGACCCCAAGACTTGGATGCGGCTAAAAAGCAGGAGCATTGGCAGCATATTCTTGAACCATATGAATCTCAGCGACTTGAGCAAAACCGGTGAAACTTCGCAGGGCCAGCTGATCGAGTTTGACGAAGAGAAAAGCGAATGGACCATTGCAACTTTCAGTGCTGATATCGTGCACTTCCAAGATCAATGACTTTTTGACACTTTGGCATTTGAGAAGAGACTTCCAATCTTGTGGATTTATCCAGTCTTCCTACAACATGTTTCAATCGCGCAAGGTCGCTGCTCAGGAGTCCTGCATCAGGCTGACGTCTCGTTTGGATTTAGATCTCGTATGATTAGTTTCAAATGGTGTTTTGGAATGTGAAGGGGAAAACTCCTCTGTGCAGCCTGGAATACAAGGCCGTTAACCGCTGACGACTTGCAAGACTATGACATCACACTTGGACCAGCGTGGGAGCCTTGGCATCCCAGGCTTTTAACGCAACCAACCAACAATCATTGGCCGGATGTTTTTGCGAACCTGCGTCTTAAAAGAATACAGTGGGTTAAACGTTATAAGTTATACTCTATATACTACCTGGTTTAATCGGGATTATCATAGCTGAACTAGGGACACAAGCGTGAACCAACCGGTATAACGGGATGGGATGTGTCTCCCCTGTTGGCAGGTCTGACACTGGCGTGATGGGAGCAGAGCTTACTGAGAGACTGTCCGACCAAGGGCGCGCCGTTAATGGAGGATTGAAATTAAAGATATCATGTGATGCTTGTGATGCTTGTTGAGTGCATTCAGATGCAAATTTGACTCTGGCAGGTATGCTGTGTGCAGGCTTTTTGTCGCTCCAGATGATTTGGAGGAGATGGTACGGACAGCGGACAGGCGCGACTTGACCTTCTTTCACATCTTTCACTTGGCTGTGGCTTTCGAATGGCGCAGCGACCTGCCGGATTTGTGAGCACTCTTCCAGGTGCACCCGAGAAGGTGCATTTGCAAGACTTGCTGCCGAATTAGAAAGTGGATATTTGGGTCAGGACTGGACTGCGTGTCTCTGTCTTTGGAGTGTCTTTGGGTCCCTGGATAACTTTGCAAACATTTTATTCAGATGGAGCCTCTGAAAATCTGCAGGACGGCAAAGGAAAGACACTGTCGGTGGATTTGGACAGCAGCGACATAGCAGACTTCCTTCGAGAGTAAGGAGCACAGATAGGTTCATGTCCCCACTGCCACTGAAACACCATGACTCTTGGCTCACAATGGGTGTTCTATGAGGTCACCATTGAAGATTTTTGAAGATGCAATTGAGACAGCCGCGGCCTTGATCAGACTACATCTCAACAGGGTGTGAACAGCATAGCTTCTGCTGTCGTGTCCCTGAAAGCTGTTGACGTTCCGGTCACCAGGTGGGCACCCTGGTTCGGCCTTTCGTCGAACCCGAATTGGGGTTCGACATCTACAGCAGAACAAGTGCGCCTTCCGGTGCAGCTGCAAAACGCATTTGACTTGAGAAATGTGATAGTTGCGCATGCAGGTACCATGATGTCGCTTCCTTTCGATGATGGTGATGAGGAGTTTTGCTCTTCCTATGTAGAACCCCCTAAGAAAACAAAGCTGCATTCAATATGTTGCAATCTGTTGTTGGAATTGTTCAAGCCGGCCTTGCAGAGCTATCCATTTCAAAGATGGCCTTAGAGGAATGGTCCAGGTCAAAGGCGAGACATTTCGGACGGATGGTATGCAACTGGCTCAATGCATGTGTAAAGAAACAATAGCCCTTGACTCTTCCTATTGGAATATGTTGAATATGAATGAATATTCTAGAATTATGGCCAAAGGGCAGGCGAGTTTCGGTTTTTTTCTTTCTTTTTTCTTTCTTGCTTCCTTTTCCTTTCCTTTCCTTTCCTTTCCTTTCCTTTCGTTCCCTTTCTTTCTTGGAACGTTTGTTGTTAGCGCGTCCAAGCCCTGTCCAAAGGATCTCCACACCCGGTCAGGACATGTTTTCTCCCCCAGACATTGACAACGAAGAAGCCGCGAACTTCCTTTCCATGATGCCAGTGGCTCAATTTCTCCCAGATCGGGCAACTCAGCCAAGCCATATTTGATTTAACCTACCCCAACCGGGTGCGGACTCGGGACTGGGCCCCGGCAACAGGTGGCGTTCCAAGCTGATGATCCTGGTCAATGCTGGGTTGGCAGCTGAGATTGGCTCTGGAACTGATCGAAACATATCGAAACCATACAAGTGTTGCGTGATGGGCAGCTTCTAAGGCCTGGGGTTACCACTTTGACCCTGACTCCAAAAGCGATTACCGATCAGGATCCTGTGAAGTACGTTCCTAAGTGTGAAGTTGTGAAGTTGAGCATTGCAACAGTCAATTTGTTTTTCTTGGTCGTGGCGCAAGTGATCTATGAGGCCTCAGCTGACCATTCTCCCGGGCATGCTGTGCGTTTTTTGCATGGACAGGCCAGATAGATGAACACACAGACAGGATATGACGGGAGCACGCACAGAAGGTCTTGAATTTGATGTTTTCCTTTGGTTGTCGAGCCTTTGTCTCTGTCGCTTAGATGCCTCTTGAAACTATTCTTCGAATTGTCATGATGTCTCAAGCAAAAGGTAAATTTCAAGCCTGATCTCAACCAAAGCCGCCATCACGATGGCACTGCACACAGCATGATCTGAGACAATGATACTGAATCAATCCCTGGTGGCAAACTGACCCCCATATGCCCCAATTTCCAACTAACGCCGCAGAAAGTGGTGGAACAACCAAGACACAGCCACAAGAAATCACAAGCACCAAAATCTTTCACAGCCATGAAACCACGATTGACACACCAAACGGCAAAAATGAATTAGAACCAGCGTGAGCGAGACATGCTTCGTATTGTCGAGTATTGTCTAGCCACAGGAGAGAAAAAGACCCTCAGCCAGTTGCAATGATGAACCCACTTCAATGATTGGGGCATTCCTGTTTGCACTGCACCGACATGATGTGGGATCATGAATACTATGAATCTGGGTAAATTATAACGACCTCACTGCGACCTCACTGGAAATCATGGTTAATAAGGGAAATCATCCCCAAGATAGCCTTAATTCAGGTTAGTGAAATATTATAATTTACCCAGATGAATGCAAACATAGTGAGGACCAACACACCGTCGAAAATCGCACGACACATACGCCATCTCAGCATTGCTAAAAAGTGCTGAATCAAGGATTCTACCTCAGAAAATAGAGATGCAACTAATAAAAAGGCATAGAGTGGATATTGATATTGTTGCATTATGTTGCATTTCCTTATGCAGTGACCCACATCTGATAGGACGGGGAATGCCAAGAACAGACTGTGCCTTTCCACTTTACTTTCACCTCTCATGACCTGGATGCAGGGGTGGCAAGCGTCCCGTTTGGAGATTTGAAACATCACCCTGAGACGATTGTCATTAGTGATTTTCTACTGGTTGGACGGTGCTCAAATATGAGATTGAACCACCTGTCGGTATTTCCTACTGGAAGAACACCGGCTCTCAATCATTTGTATGTCCGACTCGGCAAAGACAAGGATTGGTAAAATTGCAGGTGAAACATGGTGAAACGCACAAGCTGCACTGTCCAAAATCATGAAAAACCAACCCTCCGCAATAGCCATCCACAAATCTGCAACGACGCCTTGATGTTGTATGATGTCGTACTAAAAGGTGAAACGTATGTCCCGTTGTGCTTCTGTGTGATCTTGGAAACATCATGTTGCCTGGTGCCACGTAGCAATAGTGTCAAAGGAATGTTCACATCTTTCGAAAATCAGTGTGGGATAGAGCTCGTGTAGTGTCGTTGCAATGCAGGTACAAATTCGCTCACCAATCCGAGGGCAAGGCTCTCTCATTGTCGGCATTTTTTCTGGACGCACCTCGCGAATATGTGCGGGCCTTTAGTTTCGGCCACTAGTGTCGACGTATTTGTGAAAATGCGCCAAGTTCCCACATTAACTTTCTTGGTTTCCATCTAGAGTATAACCTCAATATTCCACCAAGGTCATAGACAACATCACAGGTGACCTGACTTTTCTGACGGGGGCTTGGTCCTTAGTCGTCCTTAGAAACGAATTTTCTGCGAGACTCCGTGGTGTTCCGGGTGTTGCTGAGACCGTCTCTGGACCCGCTCAGCCAAAGACAGACTCCGTCCCAGCCGGCATCCCAGTCGTGTCAGCAGATTCGTCAGCACTTAACTCAAAAAAATATATAAGAATAATGAACAACATAAATATATACACATATATATATACATATACAGTATATATATATATATATTATTGTGTAATATTATGTACATATAATATACATAATCTCTATATAACGGAATCTCTACTCGTGCATCGTAACGAAGTAGACCTGGAGCAATGGGGATGTGTGTACCCGGACTGAAGCGGTCCCTTGTCCTTGTGATCGCCACACTTTTCACAGCTCCTCTTTAGTCTACCCAGAGCGTGGTGCTCTCGCTCTCTCTCTCTCTACTCCATGGGATTGTCTGAAACTAGGGCACCAAACAATTTGATGATGTATCATCGATTTTCCATATTTTTACCATTGAAATAGGCCATTTGGATCCATTTACAGTCATCATTTTCAGACACAGCCCCATGAATTTGACAGTCGCCGGCAGGTTGTTTCCATGGGAGAGCGATATGCCTTCGGTGTGGACGAGCCATGGAAAGCCTGGGTTGCATATGCAAAAGCTGGATGGGATACGATCACGAGGCAGACCTTGGCTCCCACCCCCACTGGTCAATGGGCCAACAATGTGACCTGTCCAGGCATCCTCAGCAACGATGGGACTGCGACATGTACTATGAGCCTGATGCAGACCAAACATCTGGCTTGTCCTACACTTGTCACGGCGGTTTTTCAGATGGTGCCCCAGCCTTTGAAATTTGAGCACTGTTCAAAACGACTGTTGGTTGAGGATTGTATGGGATTTTACCAATTCTACTACCAATTCTACTACCAATATTGGGGATTATCAGAATCAATTCTGGGTGCGGCGGGTTTTGCCGCACACCTTTGCAGTTTCGAAGGTATTGAGCTCTTCGACTGCAAGTTTTTTGACATTTCTCCAGCTGAAGCACGAGGTTCGGGGCATGGGCTTTTCTTCCATCCTTCGGAATGGGTCGAGCATGTCGAGCATGTTGCAGGTATGGATCCAACACAGCGGCAAGTGCTGGAGGCGCGGGATCATTCAGCTTTCAACTCCTCATTGAACTTCTTGCATTGATTGAAGTTGTGCTGAGATGCCCCTTGAATTTCGGCGCATGCCAATTTGTCCGATTTAACTGCAGATGAGTTTCGCATGGAGACATGCTGATCAGATTGTGGTAAATCTGCAAACGAGCCAAGTATATATAAAAGAAAGAACCCAAGGTCAAAAAAAATCCGCCGCAGAATCAGACAGGGCCAACAGACTGGATGAACAGTACAACTTTTGATCAGCCGCATTGGACCAACAGCAATCTCACGCCATAAAATCAAAAGAAGTATATACCTGTACTATCCGTGCCATCAAGGTGCTTTTGTTTTTCGATTCCGCCATGGTCAACCTGCTTAGTTTCATATTTGAAATTGACAGGATCTTTCAAGGTGTAGTGCACAGGTTTTGCAAACTGTGCTGGCTCAAATCATCCTACAAGAAAAGAGCATTTCCACTACTACGTGAAACCCTGCCTTGTGTGTTGCGATTCTAAAAGTAACATGCGGTGAGAGTTTGAAGCTCCATAGATTTGTGACTCTATCTTGCAGGTTTCCTACATTTCGTTGCAGGGCGCTGGCTGGACAAAGAAGATGTTGCAGGAGAGCGGCTGGCGATGGCATGAAAGCTCATTGAAGTCCTCTAGTCCACTGAAGTGGTGCTGAAGTGCTGAAGCCACCCCCAGTGGCCCAGGCCAAGCCAGCCAACATCGGCGTTTTTGTCGGCTTGGACAAGAACGAGTGGAATAGCTTGCCCAAGGCTGGGCTCATGGCTTCATGGCTGGAATGGAGTAAATTGAGTCCAAGTGTTAGGATCATCTCTGAAATTTCTGGAGCTTTCTGCTGAAAAGAAGGAATGATGAAACGCCAGTCTTGGCCCCAAGTTACCCAGTCGCATCAACCATCTTGGAAACTTGTAGACCCAGCGGTGGGTGCACTTGCAGTGCGCGAAGGACATACAAGGGGGCTTTGCAGCTTCAAGCGGAGCCAACGCAATCACATCCAATCGATTCAACTATTGCATGAATTTGAAGGCTCGCAGAGTGGGTGACAGCTTGCACCAAAGCAAAAGATGGGCAGATTCTGTTTCATTTTCCCAGAGATGAATTCTGAAAGGGTGCCAGCATGACGCTTGACACAGCGTGTTCGTCATCCTTGGTCGGAATCTGAAAAGAGCTGTGATTTTCTTTGGCGTTTTGCATAGCAGCAAGTTGAGGTTAGTCTGAGGGATAAAGTGGAAGCTTGAGGTAGCAACCCACACCGCCAAGTTGTGGATGCCTCAAGTTCAAGTTGTGCATGACAGAAAATTCAGGGGCTTCTAGACAGGATTCCATGTACTTGAAGCTTCTGCCCAGGTATTTGCTGCATAAGCACTTCGATCCGTGCGAGGCACATCTCCTTTCTAAAGGAAGTAGTGTGCTGCAAGTGTTGCTTCAACATTGAGCCTGAAGGATTGTTTACATGTGTCATCATGTGTCTAGGTTCCAAATCACGGCTTATCCCGTAGTTGCATATTGGCTCGAGTGTTTGCTCGTTTGCTCAGACGACCAAACGGAGCACAACGGACACCTAGCACCGGCACGGACAGGGAAAACATCGCAGCAAATCGCGGATTTGGATAAAGCATCATGTGCATATTATATATATATACATATGTGTTTTCATAAAAAAATATTATGTATATATATATTATATTTATATTATATTGTATACTGTACATATGATATGTGAATCATATGCATGTTCAGCATGTTTGCTTAGGACCCACCATCTGAGGCTAGGTGTGTAGATCAGAGACAATGACAGAGGTGCCATGGGCTGCTGCAAGTCACGCACGTCTGAACTCTCACAACTTCAGGGAGAATGTGACTCGTGACTCACCTTGATGGATTGATCGTTGTCAACGTCCTGTAAGAAGAATAACTTAGTGCAGGCGTATAGTTTTGTTTCTAGTGGCTTTAGAGAATGAGAGGGAGGGTTCTTGGCTGTTCTAAGTCTAGACTACAAACGACTGCAATTGGTCTTAAGGGAATTTAGAGAGATTTCAAATGATGCCAAGTACATACATGTTTTCAGCTTGCTAGGTGAACCAAGATTGAGTATTTTTTCGTGTTGGGGGTTTGCTATTTTTCCTTACTTTGTGTTCTTGCTTCTATTCGTGAAGCAGCTGTACAGCCTTGAGCTGTAGGTTTTTGGCATTCATAGAGACATCAACATCAATCCTTGGACCCGAGCCAAGTTTTAATTGGATCATATTGGACTAGTCAGAAGGCATCCATGTTGCAGTATCTAGTATAATTAACGGCAACTGCAGCTTGATACTGTACGGTGTTAAACCTTTGTGAAGGCCAGAAACTTTAAAAACGTTTGTGACTTTTTTTTCCGTATCAGTCATCAGCACTAGACTTTACATAGGACCCTGTCCTTTGGAATCTTGTTCCATTGCAAGAATCCATTGGCACTCTGAGTTTCTTCGCCAAGTCCTAAGGCTGCGCAGCCAGCTCGTAACTTCTGTGCGATCAAAGCCATTCACAGAAGACACAGTGCTACTCAATGGTATCCTGGAACATCTTTGGCCGCACATCTCTCAATCTGTCGCAAAGTCCTTAGCTGGAGAACTGGAGCCCTCGATTCGGTTAGCCCTGAGCAAGCTGCCATCGCCCCTCAACAAGTGTTCTGTCAAAGACAATTCACATCTGGGAACAAAACCCGTCCGAATTTTAGCTCCGGCCGCCGCTTGGTCGAGCACAAGCAGTTTCACCATCAGCGGAAGACTTGAATGGGATAGCAACAGTTCGATTTCTTTGAGCTTCACAGGAGCCAGCTTGGCAATCATCAACTTTTTCATCATGGGAGACTTTACGATTGAGCTTCTGTTGGTTCCTGGAAAATCTGCTGCAGAGTTTGTATCTGCTGTTCGAGCATTCTTTCCATATCCACCAGATGCTCAGTGCTGAATTATCATTTGCTGCTCAAGTTTTCAGCTTCTTGCTGCTTTCTTTTTCATTTTAGAGTCACGTATGTCACATAATGACATATCATCCCTTCATTTGATTTGCGAGTCTTGCTCCCAGGACATCCAGTTTGATATTGAGCGCAGTCAGCTTGCGCTAGCAGCAAATCTTGCAACGCTACACAGAATGCTGCTTCGAGTCATGTCACAGAAACTTTCAGAGAAGTTGGTCTTTCCGAACTGTCAAGGGATCTCATTCTCCTCTGTGGACCTCTTGGATGTGCGCCATCCACCTGCAGAGGGCTTGCTGAGCCTGAACATCCAGATAAGGCTCAACACACCAGGAGATTGCCGCCAGTTACTGCATGCAGCACGGAACATGTGCAGCTGATTTGGACTCAACGTGTTGCCTTGGGAAAAAGCACGGGATAGATGTATAGATGCTAGATGATGCTAGTAGATAGATCCTATTAGGTGACTGCTGCAACGCTCTTCCTGGCGCTGTTTGTTGCTGCAACTGTCAGGAGCATTTTCTGTCGAAACAGTCTTTGGATCTGATGTATACTCGTCAGACTGCAAGCCAAAAGCTGGGGCTGATGACTTCCAGCTTCCAACTCGGTGTTTTGTGGTGCGTTCGTCTTTGCATCAGCAGATTCTGGTCAAACTGAGAAAGAAAGCAGCGGCTTGGCTGCATGAGGTGGCAAACCAATAGTTCTTCTGCTCCGACTTTGACGACAATTTGGTTTTATGCTCACTGGCACCAAGGCAAATGGGCCCGAGAAGGCATCCTTTTTTCGCGTTCGAGTAGCAGATTTGATTTATCGAACCAGAGAAGGTCACTTGGCTATACTTGACTGCAATTTAGGACATTGACATGTGGCTAATCAGGCTAATCAGACTCAAAAGCGCTTCAAACAAGTTGAGAAACCAAGGAGCTTGGTCGCCAGCATTTCAATCGGATGGTCCGGAGGGCTTGGAGAGTACTGCAGATGCTTTGACCCTCACAACGCAGTGGTGGCCACTCTGCAGTGATGGCCGCCAGCCAAGTGAGTCGGGAAAGGACTGGGCAAGGGCAAGAGCTACCAACAAGTTGCAGTCCTCAACCGTGCAATAGTCTAGATAGAGTCTAGATCAAGAGGGATAAGGTTCAGCCAGAGCATGCCAGTTCGTTGACAAGTGGCCTAGCTGGTACCTAGCTACTTGTTCTGATGTTTAGTGGACAAATCCTATGCCACCTGTGGCCCTTTGATTTCATTCTGTCCGCACTCACAACAATTGAGTTGGGGCCGGCAGGAAGCTCCAGAATTGATTTCAGTGACCTTGGCTAGCGAACAGTATTATTTTTGTGAATGATTTGTGTTTCTTCCCCCAGAAAATCAATTGCCAAAGAATACCAAAGATGCGAAAACATCATGATCGGATGTTTCGGCACTTGATTGGAGCAGGTGGGTATTTGCTCGGCACAAGTTCTTGAAGCCTGCCCTGGGAGCTTGTTTTGGGTGGTGGCAAGACTTGAAGACGATATCCTACCAGCGCGAAGGACAAGGGCGTGCCAAATGCAAAGCCATGCATTTTTGATAGCAAGCTCAAGGTGTTTGTTTCTTTGCAGATGAGCTTCCCAAAGTTCCGGATCAGCACATAAGTATAAGTACATCAGTACATATATATATATATAAGTCAGTCTGTTTGCACTCCCCTCTCTCTCTCTCTCTTTCTGTTCCAAGTTCTCTTGTTTTACACACATTTGTAGAATTTGTAGAAGCATGTTGTTGTTTTTTTTACATTTCCTTTTCTGTGTAAAGCATGGGCTTTTCTCCCCCATTGCACAGTCGCAAAGTGACTGCCTTTTTTCGGCAGGACAGGTCAAAAAAGGGCAGCCAAGAAGGACGAAAACTGGAGCCGAATGAAGGCTGAAAAGATGGCAATCTTGGAGAAGTACAAAATGACCAAGGAAGATATGGCCAAGATTCTGGAGGCTCCCTGGCTCCCTTTTCGCCTTTGGACTTTTCAAACCATATGGGTATGGATCAATACCTATTAATACCATTTTTAGGGGGATGAACATCCATTTACCAGCTATTTTGATGTTCACCAGGGGTACAAGGTTTTGACACACTGCCATATTGATCTCATATGTCCAATGAACTAAGCTGGAAAAGCTGCAACGGATATTCAAGGCTATAAGACTTAAAAATGTGATACCAGCATGGCATTTGCTCACAAGTGGGCCGTGGATGTCATCTTCAAACTTTCCGTTTTGTCAGGATCCTCCAAAAGTGATATGGCTTCAAAGCTTAGATTTCGCTCTGCTCAGTTTATCCAAAGCACCCTGCGCTTCGACCAAGCGGGTGACGCTTGAATTGTGGAAGAAGGCCAAGCGGAACTGGGACAATGGACAGCTTCAGAGTTGTAAGAGGCCCTGTACTATGATATTTGAGGGTTTCTTAAATTGGTGGATCCCCAAACCATGGGTTCCAATACTAAAATGGTCTAATTTTGAATGATTTGGAGTTCCGTCCATTTTAGGAACCTCCTTTTCAGAGAGACACGAGGCGACACCTAAGGTGTGGTTTTTTTGACAGCTCTGTGAAGCAGCTCAGACAGGCTCCTGGAAAGTCCGACGTGAAACTTGGAGCAATTGCTGTGGATATGGGAGGCACGTTCCCCTTTGGGCATAGGTAGAGCTGTGCACTGAAATGTTTTCCCAGAACATGGGGTACATGGGTAAACCAGAATCCCATGGTTGATCATCATTGCCATGTATCCCCCATTTCTGGTTCGAAAAACCCAGATCGTTTCATTTCGCATCCGCAGGAAGTGCTGCCGGTCGACAATTTCAGAAGATCTCCGTAGATGGCGGTGAGGTGCTTCTCGAATTCCGAGTGTGCCCTGCTTGCAGCTTTTCATTACAAGACAGTTGCAACACCTCAGAAGCGTGGAATTGGCCAGAGTTTCTGATTCTGGTGTTGCCATGTGTAGCTTAGGCACAGAAGTTTCTTCATGAAGAACTCTGCTGATTTGCCTCCTGATGTAGGCGAAGTCTGCTTGTGTTGCTGATGTTACTATATACCTATAGCCACCGCAGGCTAAAATTTGAGCCCGAGCGGGTTTTGACCTATTTTTCTGCCTGACCCTGGAAATCCCGCCTGACCCTAAATCCTCGCCTGTAGGGAAATTTGTGCGTTTTTGTTTTGATTCACTGTTCCGCATTTCTTCTTCGCCATTCCTGGACAAACGAGTCCGCAAAAAACAAACTATGGCCAGTAGATAAAACCTTTCCTCGCGAATTCCCGCCTGTTTCCCGGGTATTCCCGCCTGTTTTCCGGGTATTCTCGCCCGACTTGCTTTGACACAATTTTTAAAAACTTGCCTGAACTGCACATGCAAGAGAAAATTCAAGCCCTGATTGTTCGGGGAAGATATCTTTAGACCTACTTTGTCAAATTGCAATTCTTGCCTGAATAGCATTTCTTGCGCGAATTGGCAGTCAGGCTATTTTTCAGCCCGATCACAGAAAAGACTACTATTCCAGTTCAGCCCCAAATTTCTGCCTGTTGGAGGCCGCAGGTATATATGTATATATATATATATATACACTATATACATATACAGACATCCCGAGAGTCTCTGCGAGTGTTTTGTCTGAAAGCTGAAAGGTGTGCAAATTGTGGAGCCAGAGAGCCACGAGAACATCTTGAATGCAGTCAATGCAGTCAGTGCAGCGAGCAATGCCCTAGCAGCTGTGGGTGGTCTGGGTGCTGGCGCTCTCGCAGTTGCCATGGATGAAGGAATCGCAGCGGTGGGGGGTGACTCGGTTGTACGACTTGAGATGGTCCTTGTAATGCAAACAACTCTCGGCTGTAAGATTGCTGCTACTGGTAATCTTTGCAGAACGTGCTCCTTTCATTCCAACCATTCTTATTGCTCGTGGTTCTCCGCTATTGCCAAGGTGCTTATAGTGGCTTGTCTGCTGCTGCACAAGCTGGAATTGAGGCCCAAACATGCCCAAACTGCAGGGATTTTTGCAGATGGAAGTAGCTTGGGAGATGTCACATTTCAGGACGAAATGGGAAATGGGTTGGAGGGCAATGCCCAGTAGTATCATCCATGATCCAGGATTACTAGCAGTAGCACTCAAAATTTAACTGAGTAAATTTCAATTGAGTAACTGATGTAACTGTATTGTGAGCCGTTGTGAGGGCCTCTCTTCGACATGGGCATTTGCCACGGACTTTGAGCAGCCTTCGCCGAAGTCTGAAGAGCTTGCTCAACCAGGCGCTTTGGATTATGGTCAAAAATTAATCAGGGCTTTTGTGATTTGTGACTTGAGTTGCTTGTATATGATTCTTATATGATGTTATTCAAAGCTTCAGGACCCTGCAATTTCGTCGTTTTTCCTGCGAACAATGAGGTGTTAATTTCGTAATTTCATCAACACGCCTGGAACCAACACATATCATGAATGCCAACGGAATGCTTCTTTGCAAAGTGCTACCAACGTTGAGTTCTTTTGTGACTCAGGCAACAAAAGGACTGTCAGAGACTGAGCTATGGCAATCTGATGCAATCTGCTTTGTAAACCAAACCATCCGGACCCAGGCTATGGATACAGAGTGACTCCTGTGTGGAGCAGCAAAACACGTGCGTAGCTGCGGGCATACTGTCAGGGTTGCATTCCGTGCAGTACCATAGCCACCAAAGCCATAGACATTGCCTGTGTCAGGCCGTCATTATTTGCGGAGTCAACCTCAGCCTCAGCCCGATGACCTACATCAGTTGCTGTGGCGCAGGCCTCTTGATACGTTTTGCAAGCAAACCGACTGATTTGGGTCTGAAAATATGGCAAAACCAAAATCGAATGGTTTATCATGATTTTAGACATATTTCGACCATTCAAAAGTTCGGGTACATCCAATTTTTCACACCCACCCACAAAATTGTATTTTGCATAGTCCCACCGTATCCCCACTACAATGCCATTCCATGTCAATCATACTTCCACTAAGTCACTAAACCATCCAATTAGATCTGTCAACCAATAGCCTTTTTGGATTTGTTCGGTTGATTGGAATAGGGCAACCCACTGGCTTTGTAGGCATGCACTCGCATCTTGGCCGATGTTTCACTTACAACTTCTCTGCTGATGGCTACACTCGGGGGGAGGCACATGAAGGGAGCAGAGAAAAGCCTGTGTAATCTGTGTGATCGTTTGCAGATGCCTTTTGCTTTCTTTTATTTTCTTTTAAAATCTTTAGAAGTTGTTGATTGGTTTCGATGTCTTTTGGATCCCTTTTGATTGTTTCTCATGTGTAGATCTAAACATGTGGAGGCCACCGCGTCGTGTGGGCTCAAGCTAAAGGCCTTTGAAAGGCGAAGTGTTGCTTCTCCTGGGCCCGGCGTGCCATTTTTATAAGGGAAAAGTCAGGGAACGCGATGATTAACCGATTTGGGGGTGCCGGGTGCCGCATTTTTAGATACACCCAGATCTAGCTGATTGGTACAGTAGTGTAATTGGCTTATGCGGCATACGTCTTGTCTATACTGAATGTCTCCCTCATCTCCACTTACGACATGCAAGCCCAACAGATATAGCAAGCTTATCAATTCTTTTTGTTCAGTCCCGACCTTGAAACAGAATCCCAATCCTCGTTTTTACCATCAACAGCTCCTGTCTTTGTGTCCGCGCAGGGAGCAGGGGGACTATGGCGTCTGTGCAGGAAGCCAGGTCAACCAGGCCTAGTTGCCTAGCGATTTGAGCATGGGCGATGCCACTGATGAGTTTTTCATATGTTTTTTTTGATGAATATCCAGAGCTACCAGCTATTCTGATGTGAAAATCAGGGTAACTAGCATCCTGTCGGGCAGGATGGACGAAGTGCATCGTTGACTGCTCCGAACGGACCAGCACAGGAGAGATGCTTGCAGGCTGGTCAATGGACCAAACATGTTGTGAGCTGCCTTGGGCTGTGACTCTTGTTTTGCTTCATAAAACATTTGCACTAGAGAAATTGTCTCAGGCAGTCATCAAAGAGGTCGGCATGAAGCCACCGGAGATGGATACCACTGAATGCCAGACGCTCTGAATGTCAACATGAACGTTGGAGCACTCCACAGTCCACAGTAATTGTGATGTTTTTGGGTCGTGCAATGTGCAATGCTTCACAGGCCATGCCATTTGTGTTACAACATGTTACAACTGTTGCTGTTTCTCCTGACAGTGTCAGCGGCTAGCGGCTATGGTTGCGGTGGTGCTTATTGTATTGTAATGGTCTGATTGCCTGTGCTGTACCCGGTCCTCCATTCTGCTTCCTGTCTGACAGGGATAAGGTAAGGGTACGGTAAGGGTGCATTCTGAAATCCATTGAAATCCCAAAAGCTCTACGACTTACAGTGACTTACATTCTGCACAGAGCTGAAACGATCGGAAGTTTGCAAAACATTAGGCCATGGCACCGGTACATCTCTTGGTGATCCGATCGAAATCGGTGCGTACAAGAAGGCGGAGTCACAATTTGGAGATGTCTGAAAATGATTGAACATGGAGAATTTCACTTCCCAACTGGCCACTTTCATAGAGAAATGATGATGAACCAGTGGATCTAGGGATACTCTATTTTCAGACAAATCCATTTGACCTTTTGACCCCCACAGGTCCCAGAACTCGAAACATCACAACGCCGCTGGTCAGGTGATGTCGATGGTGCCCAGGCGATGGCTGCACACATCCACAGGATTGAATGATATCATTTTTTTCCTCATTTTTGACGGTTAAACTGAAGTTCAACCCCCCTGGAATGAGCGTACAATCTGAAATGGAACTTAGGCCATACTTAATCCCTGCTATGAACTTCATTTCTTTGGCCAAAGTCCCAAAGTCCCAAAGTCCCAAAGTCCCAAAGTCCCAAAGTCGGTGTGAAGGCCTGAGCCTGTGGTGATCACCTCGTCCAAGTCCAACATTGGACATTGTGAAGGTGCCATGGGGCCCATTGGGCTGTGGATGAAGCGTTGAACGCAGCAGCCAGTGGCATAGCAGTCAGCATTTCCGCCAGGAAGCGCAGGTGTCTCCGGATTCTTGAAATGTGTCTTGATGTGCTTGTCACCTGCTCAGCCTGATCAGTTGTTTCGAGTTCCTACAGAGGTTCCGAAAAATGCCGGGTGTGCGAGGTTGTCTCAAGTCATCTGAACCAAGCAAACCCTCTGAAGATCTTGACAGATTTAAACGTGCTAGGAAGATCGATAGCAAACTAGAGATGTTTCCTGCAGTCACCTGTGGGACCCCTGGATTCATCACTTTTCTTTCCTTCTGTCGGCATGGCTGAGGTATGGTGAAGGAACACCCAATTGCCATCTGAACTGTTTGAATCCGTGGCTGCCTGATGCAGAAGATGTTCAAGAGAATTGAAAGCAGCCTGTGATGACTTGCTGATGACCTCATGAACTGCCAAGAACGCTGAAAGGCACCTGGACATGACGGGCTTCCCTGGCATCATGACTACTGAGAACGTCACCTTTAGAGCCGAGGTGCTTTGCCATAGAGGTAGCGTATTGTTGTACGCACGAAGTAAGTCAAAGCAAACTAGTTTGCCATTGCAAGTGCAACTTCCTGAAACCGGTCAGGCCAGCTTCAATAGTGTCCTTTCGTTTGGCTTCGGTGGCACCAATGCATGTGCGACTGCACAGGCCTTAGAGGGCTTAGAGGGCTTTAGCTTCTCAACCTTCGGTAAAGCTAATCCAGATGTGCTGATGCCGATCGGCCGATCCACCTTTGAAAAGATCACATTCTCAGGTCTGGGGGGTGAACCAGATGACTTCAAGAGGTGTTGGAACCAACAAGGAGAGACTCGGTTGACCAGATCCTTCACCCTGTGCAGAGGATGTCTCTTGATGTCATCTGATTTCAATATGATTGTATATTATTGATATTATTAATCTTTGGTGTTTATTTCGATAGTCGCAAGCAACCATACATGTAATACATCAGTAGGACTGCGATTTCAAGGAAGGGGTACAGACGTGAGTTCTGCCAGGATCTCTACAGCCTCTTCATTCGAAAAATGCAGGATGCACCTCCACAGGAGGTCACAATAGTGGGAGATGACTGGGAGGAGCCCGTCGTTTCTGAATGTTTTTGGGTGTTTTCAACAATTTTTCAACGAGCTTCAGAGGCTAAATTAGATTTGCAGCGATAGGACTGGGAGATGGGTGGTCCTGACAAAGACGCTCGATTCAATGATGTCTTTGAGGCCTGTGAAACTGTGAAACCATTTCGTGTTTTTGCTGTGACTGAAGCCATTTCCGTTTTAGTTGGAAGACAATGTGACCTCTGTCAATGTCAATGTCAGGTTGAACTGGATCCAGATGGAGTTGTGAGCTACTGGAAGAAGGACAAAGAGGCCTTGAGTGCGAGCATAGCACATGCAAGACCCATCAGACCCATCAGACCCATCCACCTATCCATCTATTTGATTCTATTTGATTCTATTTGATTCTATTTGATTCTATTTGATTCTATTTGATTCTATTTGATTCTATTTGATTCTATTTGATTCTATTTGCCTGTTTCGAGGTTCCAGACCTTGGTTGCATCCTTAGCAAAATTTAGCAAAGCATGCGCAGATGATAAATCAACCTGGACAGATAGATGTCTCAAGCAGTGATTTGTCATCTGCATGAGGCAGTTCGTACTTCTTGACTGGCACCTTCAATGACTGGAGATATGACGAAATGGAGGATGGGTCCAACATGGATGGCTTGGTCACCAGCAAGTGACATCTTTGTGGACATGCAGTCAGTGCGTGACTTGAGGCTGATCCTAACGTGCCGGGGTTGTACTTCTCCACGCTTCGCATTGCTACCAATGTCGAAGAAGAGCAACAGACCCAGGTAACGCCAAAAGAACAGCCAGCCAAAGTGATCCAAATGTTGGTTGTACGAGGACAAATCCATTTCTTGGAATGGGGCCGTGCTCAGGTTCCAGGTTGTAGCAGGCCAAGATCCCAAGATGACATTTCATCCTTCGAGCAGGCGCGTGACAGTACCACTGTCCGGCATTTGGCACTGCTATGAGGATCATCCTCCACCTAAAATCATCTAAAATCCACCAAAGATTCCAGATTGCACTTGAGAAGTGCAGGACTCCGTTGAAGTCTGCAGCTGTCCGTGGTCCGGAAGAGACCAAGAGGGAGAACTGTTGGTGTGTGAGGGGCGGCAAGGGAGAGAGGTGCTCCTGGCATGTTGGGGGCCACCAGTGGGGGGGCATACTCTGGACCGTGAGAGATCATCGATTGAAAATCACTTTGAGATCGCCTGGGGAGGGTTGAATGTTTCGCGTGTTTTTATGATTTGGCGCTCCAAGACGGTATATGTATGCATCGTGTTTGGCAGGCACTGGGTGTGCATTATCATTAGGGTGAGTATGTAAGCTGATGAATCCATTTTGGCTCAAGTCTGAGCCAAACTGGCTTCATCGTTCTTTCTTTTGCTGGGGTACCCACGCCACTTCTAGGGAGTTACCCTAGGTTAAGTGGTTTCTCGTTCCTCTACTAGGGCGTTACCCTAGAGTACAGAGGTTACGAAGGTGGGAGGTCACCCCCTCGATGCCAAGGGCCTCCATCGTCGTCCGGCCCGGTTGGAATGAGGCTGCCCACACGGATGCGGAGCTACTTCATGCAGCCGCCTACTACGAGTTCAAGACGCACGTGGAGGGCCTGCTCCAGCGGGGCTTGGTGGCCGAGGCCACCCGCTTGTGGGCTTCTGTGTGCCAAGTTGATCATTTCCCCCCACATCCAATTGGGTTGGGGGTGCAGGGACTTCCCCCTTTCAGACGGTCACCTTGCATGGAAGAGAACTGTAGGAGGTGTACTGAGTATCTGGGAAGATTCAAGTTCCCTTGGATTGGCACATGGAACAGCTCAGCTGTCTTGGCTCTGCCCGGGAGTGACCCGCGGCTTGCGTGGCAATCCTACTATGATCGCCTGGGCGAGGCGAAGCTGGATTTGCTACTCATCGAGCCGCTGCGGACTCATTGGACGGCTCGGGACTTTGCGCCGGACAACATCTTTGGCTTGGTCGCCTTCATCGAGCACAATGCCGAGAGTATGGTCGACCTCACCGAATTGTGGGCCGCTTGGAGAACCTGGCAGTCCCCGCGTCGAGGATGGAGAGACCCATCCATGGTGCCCATCCCGGCTGACCTGGTTGCGTGGAGAGCACCACGGGCCAGGGCAGTTCGGTCTTTGTGGGGGTGGCTCGGTGCCATGGAGGCTGGGGAGGAACCCTTGCCACCTTGCAAGGCTTGTGGGCTGCCGACACCTGAGCTCTGCGAGCGCTGTTTTCCCTCAGTGTGCAGTACCTGTCCACCCTCCCAATGTCCAGGATGTCACCCCGTCTTGCATCGAGACCCATCTGCAGCAGCTGCGGCCTAGTGATGTGTGTTTGTTACCTGATGATACTGAGGTTTGGTCTGCAGTTTCAGGCCCAGCCCGTACGCTCCAAACCTTGGCTGCGGTGGTGTCAGGAGTCGCCATGGCGTACCACCCAGGAGCCTATGCGGTGCAGGCTGCTGGTGAGGCTCCACCTTGTGCAGAGACGGCGATGGAGAGGGTGGCAGCCACCCGTGTCGAACAATGGCGATCTCAATGGGGCCTACATGATGAGACCGACTTCGCATATGCGTTCGCATCCTATGACAGCGCAGTGGCACATGGAGGACACCATGTGGCAGATGCGTGGTTGCAAGCGCGCTCCAAGACTGCCGAAGCTGACCTCATCCCTCAAGCGGCTGCCGTGGCTGAAAGCTCGGGCTCCAGAGACCGGCCAGCAACATGGCCTACGCCCAAGGCGTCCATGATGAAGAAGAGCAAGATGGTCCAAGCTCTTCGAGTCCGGCCAGGTCCAGACCAACCAGAGCATGTGCTGCTGCGAGCTGCGGCATTGAGGAAGGCCTTTTCTCAAGCCAAGGTTATGCGTCCTCAAGGGGAGTTGACCCCTGAGAGGTACGCCCAGTGGCAAGACGCTCTGGACACCCTGTCCAAGCGGAAGGTGACAGAGGCCGAAGGAGCAACGGTGGTGAACGCCCTGAAGTCCTGGGCTGAGTTGCGGGCCTACATGGAGCAGAAGGACCGCCTGTTCCCACCGGATGCATTGGACCTCTATGGCTTCTTGCAGAACGGCACGTCCGGACCTTACCGAGCCTTTCACTCCTTGAAGTGGTTCTCTAAACATGGTCGGTTGCAATGGGACTTCAGTGATGTACCAGTCCCAGCTCGCAAGAATCCACCCAAACAGGCAAACCCAGAACAGGCTGTTGCAGTTGAGCCCCCAATGATTGCAGCGCTTGAAGAGAAGATTCAATCGTTGTACGAAGCAGAGGACCCGCGTTGGAGGGGTTTACTGTCCAGCTGGCTGGTCACCTTTGGTGTCCTGCGGTACCAGCACATCATGCGTGCCAGGCCGGTCAAAGTGACCCCCAGCTCCTTTCATGGCTACTGCACAAAGGGGAAGCAGAAGGCCAACAGGGGCGGGTTCTCCTTCAGCATCCCGGCCACATTCGTCAATGGATGGGCTTGGGGCTCGGCCTTATTCAGGGACTACAGCAGTCTGGACAAGGCTAAGCAAGCCACTTCGGGGTTATGCTTTGATGCGGAGGGCACCGCATACACGTTGAAGTTCGTCAATGAGCTCAATCGTGAAGTCTTTGAGCATTTGGTCCAGAACACAGAGGATTTGTCTTCCTACTCCTGGCGGCGAGCTGCGCCTACAGTGGGCACTTTGATGAAGCTGACGCCTCTAGAGCTGTGCTCGCTGGGGGACTGGGCGGATCGTTCCCAGATCCCGAAAGAGGCGACAATGCCTATGCACTACAGTGCAGCCAGGTATGAGTCTTCATTGAGGACCAAGCACATTGTGAGGCTGGCCATGGAGAAGCTGCTTGCCCATGAGTCATGGGAAACCATCCCAACAGAGACCTACGCTGAGGCCCTGGAGTACGCGCGCCAGACCGTTGACAAGGTGCTGAAGCAGGAATCCAGGGTCATTTGGGCAGCTCCTTTGACGAAGGCGGAGATGCAGGCGCGTTTCCAGCTGTCTGAGGCCCTCAAGCTCAAAGCTGCGGCCAAACGAGAGGAGGCACAAGCCAAGGGTGGCCTGTCTGCGATGCCAGCATCTCTCAACGGGAAGGTGCTGAGCGCATTCATGAAGAATGGGGCGCCTATTTGTGGAGCCTTCCAGACAAGGTCCTGCCCCTTGGAGAAGGAAGTGTGTCCCGGTCGCCATGTGTGCGCTGTTCTGCGCAAAGCTGGACGAGTTTGTGGTGGGGGCCATCCGGCATGTGAATGCCACGACAAGAAGTTCATCAAGGTGGAGGAAATGCCTGGCGAAGGGCCTGGTTCGGGATCTGCTAAGGCCAAGCCTACTAGCAAATCCACGGAGGAGCGACCTCCGGAGCCAGCTGCCCCTCCTAGGGCGTCAGTGAGGCGCCCAAGGTCCCCACAAGGGCCGCCGTCTAAGGCACCGCCAGCGAAGAAGGCCAAAGCAGCCCCAGCTCCACCTCCAGCGCCATTGCCGGCCCTGGTTACTAGTTCGGAAGAAGAAGAAGTCGAAGTCGAGGAGGAGGACCTTCCGATTCCAGAGGCACTGGATACTCGAGGGCCCGACCAGAAGTTCGACAGGTTGGCGACAATCCATGGCAAGACAGCGGAGAGCCCGAGCCTTATTTATCAAAATAGGGCAGGGGGCAAGTTGTGGCTGAGTGGAATCCCAACCAGGAACACGGCAAATCGCTTTCCAAAGGGAGTTACCCTTCAGATTGCGTGCATGGCCGAAGCCCCATCATCCAGAGGAGGAGTGGTGCTCACAGATGCCCTCTTGAAACACCTGTGTGTGGCCCATGGTGGTTCAAGGAACAGGGACTTCGAAGAGGTCTGGCCCTTGCTGCGCAATACGATGTATGCAGGCGAGTCGGCCCTGATCCACTGCCTATCAGGGCGCCACCGGGCAGGTATTGGGGGCTGTGTGTTCCGTGCGCTGCTAGCCCAGGAGAGCTGGGATGTTGCAGTGGCCTATGTCAAGAGCTGCAGGCGCTCGTTGGACATTCCGGGGATCATCCATGAAGAGGGTATGAGGTCGTGGGTGGACACGACTATCAGGACCAGTTCCCTCAGAGAGCCCTGCGGCTACATTGCGACGCTTCGTTCCAAGGTCCACCTGGAGCTCAACAACGGCCAGACCCTCTGCTCCCACAAGCAATCAGCCGAGCGTGCAATCCGCTTGGTAAAACCAATGACGACGCAGGACATGAGGGAGGCTATGGCTTGGGGCCGTGCTTTTTGTGACGGTTGTTTGGTGCGAGCAGCAGCGAGCTGGCATCCACGCTGACTTTGTCAGGAGTGGCGCACCAGAATTCATTTGAATAAGAGAAGCACAGGGCCGATTTTGGTAAGCTGATCAACGTGGTCCATAGCTTGCCCGTAGGCTAATATGCATCTGAACCATTTGAGAGCTTGACTTCTGCGTGGAAAATAGCCCTATCAACATCCGGGAGGATGAGGTCATGACAGGCTGTGCTAATTAGTCTTACCGGTATGTCATGAGGTGGCTTACACAGGTATCTGTGAGGACAAGCTACATGATGTGCACCGGGGATATGGACTAGGATGCAGTCTGTCTTACCCCTGAGGAACAGGGGAGTTCTTGTCTTACCCCCCCCTGTCACCTCCTTCTGTCCCTGGATGGCAGGTGATGTGCAGCATGCGGGAGGCATGTTTGGGGGTGAGCAGCTTTGAATGTTCAAGTCATACAAGGAGTTACCTTGAGAAAATGACTAGTGTTCGATTGGTTCCGGTGGAGAGTACCACCATTCAGGAAACCATGGGGTCTCTAGGGCTGAATTTTTTGTTGGACCCAGTTGTGACCAAGGCGTTGTTGGCCACCAAGATTCAGAACCTCGAGGAGTTTCGGTTCTTCTTTGAGGATGAGTCGAAAGTCGACACGTTCTTGGCCAAGTTGCAACTCGGTGATGATAGGTTGATTCAAGGCTCCAGGCTGCGCAGAGCTTGGACTGCAGTGACCTTGTACTACAAGAACCAGGACCAGGATAGGTCCAAGATCAGTATCAGCGACCTTGACACTATGTTGGCTGACACGGAGTTGCGTGATGTCAAATCCAACTTCTGGGTTAGGTATCGGATGAGATTCCCGCCAGAGATCCATCCAGCCGATGCC